TTTGGTGCGCGCAATGTCCCGCAGGACCTGTTCGCGCTCTGCTTGCACCGCAGCGCTAAATACGAAGGACAGAAAGGGTTAAATAGCGTTTCTCAGAACCGAAGACGAAGACTAGATGTCAGACGGATCTTGAGCGACCGTTGAAGCACTAAAGTAAGTACCCCTTCCTGAACATGCAATGCAGTGAGTACTTTAGTGTACATTCGCTTTTTCATTTGAGTTGAGGTTTAGAAAGCCTCTTGCTGATGCTAACTCAGTCATGAGAAGGGTCCAGGTATCACGTCAATTGCTGTATGTTTAATGCTCTATATATATGGAGGCAAACGGGCAGGATTTTGGCACAAAGGTTGTCAAATATACAGATAAATTGTTATTTTCTGGAACTGGAAAATCTTATGTGAAATCAATAAAAACCGGAGGAAATTAAGTGTAAGGAACCAGAGTATTTTGCAGAAACAGAAAGAATTCAGCCCTCCAATTTTTTTTTACAAATTTACGGAGAAATTAATTCTATTCTATTTTATTACACCGAGATTTGGGACCGTAAACGAACTATGTATATTTTACCGTGAAAATGGACACCCACAATAAGATAGATTAACTTTGATGCATATCGCAAGATGCTATCTTGTACAATAAGGTCTACACTAAGATTTAATTTAGAAACGGCGAGGACAGAAATTTTACGATAAGATAGTTCTGTAAAAATACGCTAAAGGTTATGTTTACGATTTTATTTGACGATTCTATTTGGATTTATTGACCATAGTTAGAACGATTTTCCATGTTTTCGGAATTTGCCGTTTTTTTTCAAAAAGTTTGCAATTTATGAACAAACTAATAGTACTTTTATATTACGCTTAAGGTTGTTCATTATGTCAAAATAACTCTAAATCTCTCGCAAATTTCGTTATGTTACTTGAGTTAGGCCATCCACTCTACAAAGTTGCACGTGTACAAACAAAGAATGGAAGTTGAATTCCGGCAGGACCTCTAAAAGTCCGCCTCTACAATCAATAGCGGATAACAGTCGATTATATATAACAACAAGCCCATATCACTAAAATAATTGTGGCTATTTAGGGGTTCCAGTATCCCACTTCTTGCTCCCTATTGGCTACTGACCTGATCTGATTTATTCATAGGCGGTTTATTCACTTACCTCTCAATTGTTGCAGGTCGCTTTTACAATTATCGCGCGCCTTTTTGTTGCCATACATTAGTTTTTTTGGTAGAGCTTCCAAGTGGGGTCTTCGAAAGTCCTCATGTATTAGAGCCTCCTACTTAAATGTTTTAAGTAGGTTGAATTACCCATAATCTTCCAGTTTTCTACACGCCATCCGTCGATCCAGCAGGGATTTGATGATGGCATTGAACTGCAGAGTGGTCCTCCGAAGGTCACCACATACCATAACCGCTTAAGTCAGTATAATAAGCGAAATTAGCCTTTTAAATTAACCACGGGAATAACCGCTTACTTACAAATTTTAAGTAGGGTGATTTTCACAATCTTTTCACTTTCGTACTGCTTTAACCTTTTTTCTAGTCGGTGTTGGTCGTTCCACTAGAAAATTTACCTCAATGACCTCGCCTGAGGTAAGGGCACACTCCCCCTACATACACGCGTTCGCCGTTGGTCGATGATAGTAAAACCAATTTCAGTGTGTTCTCCCAGGGTTTGAGTACGCGACCCAACTTTTCCTCGTAACTTTTTTATTTTATAGAAATATTGCGGTCTAATTTGTTCCCTGACATGCCCCGCCTGTCCTCTCCATAAAATCAGGCGCTCGTGAGCATGAGGGGCGCGCTTCGCACGTTCCTCAGGCGGCCCCACAAGGAACCCCTGCCGTTTTTTATCATAACTGTATCTGCTGATGTTGCAACTTACTATAATAACAGCCCAGGTACTAGCTAAAAGGCCGAGACACATGTTTCACCGGTATGCTGTCGCTGCTTGGCATAATTGCGCGGGGTCCGGTTCATCAGTGGGTCCCCCATTTTCCCTGGTTGATATATCGGTTTCGAAAGTTTAGCTTTTTAATTTCCTTAGAAATTAACTTCTGTACGCGGTATACATAAGTATATTTAAAGTCTACTATTTCCCGGTATTTTGCTATATATTTTATATTTTCTTTCATACCCCCCAAACATGCCCCACCTGTCTAACGCTAATTACTACCGGTCCAGTACTATAGAATCGTGTTTTTTTGGTTTCCGAGGTGTTACACATAGTAGCTTGTTACCCAAAAGTGCATGCTCAACAACTAGGGCAGACTGCATACAGGCGTTGGGCGCGGGCTTCTCGTTCCTCAGCTGTTTCAAGGTTAGCAGCGTCTTCCCTGCGTCGTCGTCTTTCCTCGGCCTCTCTGAGCAGATCGTTGGAGGCCGACAGCGAAGCGGCATCATCCATTGCGGAGACGGTAACAGGCTCAGAAGAGAGACGCGGATCGTTGACAAGGTCGTGTGCACTCTTGCCTTTTCCGCGGAATTTCTTAACAGACAGGCAAAAAATTATGGTACAGTCAGCTGTGAACGGGTGCATCGATAGAAACTTATTATTATTCACGTGATGAGTAAGCAGAAGCAAGGAAGCATGGTCGGTTCGACTAACTTGCGACCAAGACTATGACTGTTGACACTGGTTGATTAACGTTCACCAGTCGTTCACCAGACTCAATGGTTAGCGCGTTAGATTTCTGATCAAATGGTCGCGGGTTCGAGCCTCAACGGGGGCACAACTTAAGATTGAGTACGGCTGGCTGATGACGGTTAATGAGCCAGAAATGGACATTCCAGTCACCCTTTTCTCTATCTACACTACTAGCCGCTGTAGGGCTGCTGGCGGGGCACGAGAGTAAGTCACAAGGCACAGCGAAACGAGCGAAAGTTAATCAACGAGTGTCAATAGCTCTCGATCTAAACTGAGATGGCAATAAATCTGCGACTAAATTATTAGAACGTTCGATTTTTAATCAAAACGACGCGTGTTCGAGCGTCGGGTGGGGCAGCATTTGGTGTTGGGTATGACTGGTTGATGATGGCTAATGACTCAGAAATAACTATTCCAGTCTTTCTTGTATTTGCCGGCAACGCTATCTGTCAATGGTCTTTACAGAATGTAGCTCAAGGGGGAAATAACTGAACGTTGTAACAGTTACATTGACGCAATATGGGAGATGCTGTTCAAGTCCACTGTCAAATTACAGGGATACAAGTTTGCTTAATTTTATTCACGGTGAATGAAAGTCATTTTGGCTGAAAATGGTGGAATGATATTTTCAAAACAAAGCGTACCTCACTCTCTAGTCAGAAACCCGATTCGACATACGCTAACACTTGTAAACCGATAAAACACTTTCGATCTTGG